GTTGCCCTTGAATGCTGCCGCTTGATTGTAGATGTTGCCCTTGAATGCTGCCGCTTGACCGTAGATGTTGGCTGTGAATGTTATCGCTTCAACCGCTAGCTCCTAACTGCCTCCAAACAGCCGTTTTGCTATGACCTCAATCACTTTTATTTATTATTTTAAATATTATTTAATTTTATTATTTGAATAGGCCAACTTATATTTGAGAAGCTCAATTTGAGACCACTTAATACATTGAAATATCATAAATATTGAAATATTAAAAAGTGTATTTCAAAATATTGAAATTATAAAAATTTATAATACTGAAATTGAGACAAATTAATAAATTCAATGTGTTTTTTTTGAAATAACTCTCAAATATTATTTTTTTGTTTATTTAATGATGAATAAATATGATTGCTTTAGTCAATCATAAAAACTAATTTAAGTTTAAAATAATGAAAGGATAATTTGATCGTTTTTTAAAATACAATTATTTTTGATGATTTGCAAGAATCTTTGAAAAGAATATAATATAGGTTCTATTATTGTAAAATTTATCCAAATCATGCATTACATAAATTACGATTAAAACGATGAAAGAACCAAAAAGTGTGTTTTGTGTTTTGTTGTTGCGTGTTGGATGCGGGATCCTGTTATTTCCGAAATCGACAAAAAATTTGGAAATTTAATTTCCGAAATCGACAAAAAATTAATGTTTTTAATATTCTTATATCAAAAGGATTAAAGTTCATTAAGAGAAAAACAATTCTTCTTCTTCAATCTATTGGCGCATTTATTTCTACACGCCAATAAGGAAGGGAAAATTATAAGACACCATGGTGTCTTCAAAACGCTAATTTTTGATATTTTTAACAACCCTACATATTTTCTTCTGAATTAGAAGGAATATATTGATGAATCAGTATATCAAAACAACTAATTGCATTAAATTGGCAATGTTCATGACAGAGATTCGACAAGTATTAACGAGTTTCTAAAGATTACCTAGTAAAAACACTTAATACAATGTTTTTGATCAACATATTTTATTAATTTGTTATTATATACATGGAAAATATATAAGTATAACGAATTTATATCAGAAAACAGTATTTTTAATTGCAAAATGAAATAAACCTTTCAAATACTGTATTATTTGATCTAATAATAATATAAAATCAATTTGTTTGTATTTGTTTTATGATAGTGATATTCTATATTAAACAAATTATGAAGATCACATAGATTATATATACAAAACTATTCTTGTTAATTAATCATTTCAATAATGAAAATGAAACAAGAAATTGGGAACTCGCATACAGAAGATATTTATTCGAATTGCATCAAGAGTTATATTTATGAAATTCGAAAACTAAAAGAAGATTTAAAAGTTTCAAAAACAGAGTGTGAAAGTCAGAAGAAAGCATCAGTCAAAATATCAGAAGAATTAATTAAGATCAAACATGAAAACGAAAGATATAAGAAAACAAATATCGAACTTACAAAAAATCTTGATCATCTTAAGAATATTCAAGAAGACATTTTCGAAAAATCAAAACTTGAAATGAAACGAATGAATAACGAATTAACATCAAGTCAGAAAGAAGTCGAAAATCTTAAACGAAAGATATCAGAACTCAACGAAAGGAATCGAGAATTAATTTCATCACGTGAATATTACACAATCAAACTCACAGAGTCGGAATCAGAATGTATTTCACTTCGAAAACAGTTAACAGAATCGAATACAAAACTTCATCATTAAATTCAGAACTTTTATCACTCAAATCAGAATACAACGAAATGAAAGAAAGTTCAGACAAACTTTATTCTATCAATCAAAAATTACAATCACAAGTTTCTTTCAACGAACATCGATATGCCGAACAAAGTTCATTCATCGAAGATCTTAAATATCGTGTTATTTCACTTGAAGAATCAATCAACAGATCTAAACAACTTGAATCTATTGTTTGTGAACGCGATTCAACAATTTCAACATTACGTGATCAACTATCGAAAAGCGAAAATAAATGTCAATCTATCACAGATGCATTACAACATGCACAAGAACAATTAGAAACATCACGTGTATATGACAAAGAAATTGAAACACTTCGTTCACAACATAATTCATTATTGAAACGAGCCGAAGAAGCAGAACAATGTTTGAGACGATATGAAGAAGAACTTCAATATAAGAAAGAAGAATATACACAATCTATGATTAAACAAAGTTCCACTATTGAAGAATTACAAAATCAACTTATTTCAAGTCATCGCGATTTTGATCTTGCTATTGAACGTCAAAAGAAGTCAGCATCAGAAGCAGAAGAAGCACGAATATTTGCCGAAGACCTTGAACGATCATTCAATAATTTACAACGCACAGTTCTTCGAATTCAAGACAAAATTTCTTCACACAATTCACCAAATCCATCTCCATCCAAAAGAGTTTCATTTCCTGGAACATCATTATCATCATCGACATATTCTGATTCTGATTCCAATCCTCAAGAAAATTAATTATTATTTTGTTATTTGTTTGTTTTGATAATTATTATGTAAAATGTTACGCAATATTTTTGAAATGTTTTCAAAACAAGCTGACTTTTGATTCAATGTTATTTGTCATCTTTAGTTAATTTTGTGATTTATGAACAATTTCTGTCTTTCATAGTGGAGAATAGGTGCATTTACGCCCCTATCACATGACCTTCAATTCATATGTTTAAGGTTGATTTTCAAAGAGTATTCACGCCAATTGTCAAAAATTTGAATTAAAGTCATATGGGCGTAAGTGCAGTCTTATGAAAATAAGAAAAAAATCTGAATTCCATTCTTATTTTATTGAAAGCAAAAGTTCAAAGAACGGCGTTGAAATATGAATAATATACTTTCCTTCTTTATATTTGACTTGTTGTTTGATAACTGTTTCTCGATGTCGAGAATTGAAAGGAATTAAACAATTGTGAGTTGAAAAATATGAAAATAAATGATAAGATGTAATAGAATCAATATTGAATGTATCTATGAGAGGTTTTTCATAATATGTTAAATTATCAATATGACAATTTTCTATTCTTAATGAATCAGGACTATTATTAATTAATGGTCCATTTCCAAAATTTCCAAAAATTGAACAATTTGAAATAGTCATTTTTCCATCACAACAAATGATACCATAACTTGTACATGATTGTGAATTATTTAGAATATTACTATTAATAAGATAATGTGTTGGTGAATCATTACTATAATGCATAAGAATCCAATAATCGCAATGATTTTGACAAATTGAACAAAAATTGACTTTTCCAATTGAATTTCCTGGATATATACCATATGCAGCCCCTTTTGCTTTGGCATTGTTATTACTAATATTTGAATAACTAATATTAGTAATACTATAAAAACAATAAATAGTTTCTAATCCTTCTTCTTTTTTTCCGCATGATGAAACACAACTTTCAAGAAAATAATTAAAATTTCCAGCGGATAACTCTGAATATGAATGTTGTCCATCATTTGATGCTTGTGAATATAATGAAGGTCAGGTAAGTGGGGCTTCCAGGCACTTCGTGCCCTCTAGCCCCGAAGATGTTTAGTATAAATGAAGTTTTTATTCGGAAAAATGTTAGTTTTCTGGTGTGAATTCGGAGGACTCTTCTTGGATAGAGTCTTGTATTTCCTCCTCCTCTTCTTCCTCCTCCATTGCTTCTGGGAAGAAGCCTTCTTCTGGGTCGAAAACATTATATAATGTGTAATTGAATGACACATTATATCTTTCTTTGAGTTCGCTCCTGACAAAGAACTTAGTTCCAGGAATACAGAAGACTTCTGTGCGTTGGAAAAGCTGATGTCCTGGAACGAATTTGGCAATTAGAGACTTCTTTTTTCCGAATTGTTCAGGAGTTTTCATGACGACAGTAACAACATCTCCATCTGCGAGGTCTTGTTGTTGTTCGGAAAGGTAAAGAGCAATGATATGAATGGTTGCTGCGTTGAATTCGAGAAAGTCGAATTCAAATTGTGTTGTCGTATAACATTCAAACCATTTTGTACAGTTGTCTCCGAACTCGTCAACGTATTCATCTTCGTCATATCCGTAACTAAAGACTTGGAATTCGGCAATTCTCTTGTCGAATGACCGTTGGATGTAACGAGGAAGATTTTGACGAACTTGGCATAAAGTTCTCAACATTATAAGCTTAGTAAATGTTGGAAAATACTGAACTAAGACATCGCTAAGCTCAATTGGACTTGGAATTGTCTTAGTAAGTTCAATTGAACTAGCAATTGCTTTGTTCAGAACTTCACAGAACTGAGTATTGTATGTAGCGTCTGGTTGTGTGTTTTCTTCGGCGTCTTTGAGATATTTAGAGCAAATTTGTTGAAGAATTTCTCTTAATTCGCTGTTAGACTTTTTGGTGGTTATTCTAACCGCTGTGCCGGTTCTTGGAGGTTGTGGGGCTTTGGCTTTGGTTAGCGGTTGAGAATTGTTAATGTTTGAATTGTGGTTAACAGCGTTGGCTTCCATTAGATAAAAATGAACTGACCAAAAAAGACAGATATTTAAATATTTGAGATGAACTGTTTTCGTCAACGGTAACACCCTCTATTTTTTTATTTTATTTAATAGTTACCGTTGGAAAAACGGTTTATCTCAAATATTGAATGAACTATAAACGTTTTTTGTTTTCTATATATACTTTTTTGTCCAACGGTAAAACTTTTTACACAACGGTTTTTAAGAGTCGTCGCCGTTGACTTTTTTGTAGAGCACTCAAAATAGTATAACTTTGTCCGGACAAATAAGGGTCTATCGTCGCTACAGGAAAAGTTACAGGCGTTCCAAGGAAGTATACTTTGAGAAGCCTTTTCTCTCTTATAGAATGAGATAGGACGGTTATTTTACAAAACTGACAACACTTTGACCGAGTAGTTTTTTGAGCTGAACAAAAAGTGTCATATAAACATCTGTCAAAACCCGCTTTTTAACTTCACTTAAAATGCCACGTAAGCTACGTAAGAATATACGTAAGAGGAAGGGAGCATTGAAACATCCAATAGTAAAACTGACACCACAACAACAGTTGCAACAACAAATGATGAATGACCCCACTATGTTGCAACAAATGTCAAGCAACCCTATGCTTTTAAACCGAGTTATTGGTGCACAGAGTGGAGGTTTAAGAGCGGCACTTTTAGCGAAAATGGCAGGCTATGGTGGAGCTGCAGACGGAACAGCTTATAACCCTCAAAGTCAAATGAATTTGAGTTCACTCAAAAATCAAATAACAGATGTCAAAAAGTCAAACATAGACATACAGAAACAAATAAGTGAAAACGAAAAGAAACTAGAATATGACAGACACACAAAGAAACTCAATGAGTTAAACGTAGAGAAAAAGAAGAAAGAAGAACAACTGAAAGAACTAAGTACAGAGGAATATGCGAAAAAAGTGTCAGAAAAAGCAGCAGAAGTAGCAAAAATGGAACAAGATGTTATAAATTTGAAAAACCATACTACTCAATATAAAGTACTGAAAGATGAAGAAATAAAACAAAAAGCCCTGAAGACATATATGGATAGCGATGAGTATAAAAAAGAAGTTGAAGCAAATGTAAAGGCAGAAAAACTTTTACAGTTGCAAAACCAAACCGCTACAGTATGAAAACTTAGCACAAGAAAGTAAAAATAACGACGCAGCCATGCAAAAGGCAATGAAAAGCGCAGAATATATAAAAGCTAATAATGACTGGTTAGATGCCCAAGCCAACGCTAAAGCAGCCCAACTTATAGGGTCAATAAGGACAAAAATACGAGCGGATGAAGACAGTTCAAACGAAGCTTTAATGAATGCTGACTTTAAGAATGCCTTCGAAGCTCTTCATAGTAAGGTGAAACTAGTGAACGACTTCTCATCTGGAAAGAAACTGAAGTCTGAAGGTTTCGACAAAGAGTTAAGAGAAGTAGCACAAAATATGACGAAAATAACAGATGCAACAACGAGACAGGCAGTTCAAAGTGCCTATGACGCCGTTAGAGCAACTGTTGTGGAAAGTCAAGAAAAAGAGTTACAACAGACCAAAACAGACCTAGTAAATGCTTTCTTAAAAACGAAAAGTCAGGTAGGACATTATGCTGCAGATGGAACATATGTGCCAGTTGGTGGAACTTATATACCACCAAACCCTCCAAGAGAAGCACCTGCACCAGGACTACCTAAAACATTTACATCGTCACATGGACACAGACACAGGCATGCACCAAAACCAACACAACAACCAACACAACAACCAACAGTTCAAAATCCAGCACCACAACAACCAGCACAACAACCACCTCCACAACCAGCACAGCAACCAACAGTTCAAAACCCTGCACAACAACAACCACAAACAGAGCAAGGACATAAAAGAAGTAGAGAAAAAGGAAACCAAGAATTCTTAAAAATGCTTAAGGAAGATTATGGTTACCCAGATACTCTTGACTTTAGTGACAGATATAAAGAAGCTATTAGAAAGTTCAAGGAAGGAAATACTGACCCGAACCTATTTAGCTTTATGGTTCAGCACCAAATGGGATATAATCTCAAACCTGGAAAATACAAGCTCGCTAAGGGATATGATTTAATAGCATATCATCCAAATGACATGGATGAATTTACTCCGAGATATTTGGTGTCAAAGCTAAATGATAATTCAACTCTCTTCATGAAACGCGTAAAAAATAGAGACGGAACGAAAGAAGAAAGGTTTATGAGTCCGGATGACTTAGATAGGGAACTTTTTAAAAACGGTCTCGGAATATATGAAATGCCAGCAGATGAGGTACAAGAAACTCAACAGGAAGAAGTTCAGATACAACCAGACATGGAAGAAATAGTTCAGCAACAACAGCTAGAAGAGCCTGAAGGAAACGAACAAGTCCCTCCTTTGGAAACTAACTTCACAGAACTAGATGAAGATTTGGAACAGCCGAAAAATCTTGACCCTCAACAAGTGTATGCGGAGAATATGGAATCTTTCCAAGAGTCTAAGAAAAATTCGGCTGACATAGTAGAAGAATATCGAAAAATGTTCGCCGACATACAAAAGACTCCAACATCAGATGAAAATATTCAGCATAGAATGGAAGTACTGAAAGAAAATGTACGCAAATACAATAATCCTTTTTACTTACGACCATATAACGTTCAATCTTTGGCTGAACTCGGTGAAAATAAAAGGTTAAATTTCAACAAAACATATAGAAATGAAACATTGTTTAAAGTTCATTCAGAACCTAACCAATATGGAAACAAACCTACTTTTGTTTCTGCAGACTATGGAACTACAATGAGATGGGGTCATAAAGCTAATCCGGATAGGTGGTTCATAAACTTACAACCTCAATTCCAAGAAGTTGTAGACGCAATGGAAGTGAATGGTGAACCAGATATAGCTGGTATTTTCAGCGCGGCTTTAATGCCATTGAAAGATATGAAAGATGCAGATATTTTGGACCAGTATGAAATGAACATGGCTGAAGGAAATATAACACCTGACGTTCTAGAACATTTATCTCAAAGAACTACACAGAACCATAGAGATGGTATATTTGGTGAAGAGTTTAGAAAGAAAGTTAGGGAGAGAGAAGGAAGAGAACCTATTGTACATGACCTTGCAAACGAAAGTTTGCAAAATGTCATAAAAACTTACTTTGCAGACAATGAACCGAGAATGGATGAATATTTAAGAAAACTCAAATGGACAGTACCAAATGAAATGTTAGTATTGAAAAACATGTTCCTTGACAAAATAAAACCAACTACAGAAATAAATGACGCAAGACTGAAACATTGGGTAAAAGCTTTCCCATTCACAAAAGATATTATGGTAACATGGAAAGAAAACTAGAATGGCTACAAAAACATATATTTGGAAACGAGCTTATTCCATATGGACAAGCTCTGTTTGAAGAGCTTGAACCGGAAACTCAGGAAAGAGTCATGCAAACAATAAGCGAAGACTCAAATACAAACTATGACAAAATCTTTCTAGGATATAGGTTACCTGAGATGGGCGACCAGAGCCCAAAGGCAAAAAGGACATGGGAAATTTACAACATACTAGGTGAACATGAGGCAAAGATGCAACGACTTGAAGCAGAGGGCAAGTTACCAAAAGCGACACCAAAGAAGAAGAGAAGAGTAGAACAAAGTGAAAGTAGTGAAGAAGTAACTTCATCTAGTGAAAGTAGTGGCAATGAAGGAAAAAGAAGAGTTAAAAACTCAGTCAGGAAGAAAGTAAAGCTTGGGCCGAGTGGGTTCTATTATGACATATAAATCCAACTATTCTATATTTTTACCCATATGAAATGTACGCCGCTCAGAATATAACGCCAACAGTTTTGGATGCCATGAACGGAAATGTTTCCGAATGGTATAACGAATGCGACAATGCCATTAGAAGGTCAGAAATAGTTCCTGGAACTTACGAATATACAACTGCTGTTTCTTATGGAAACGTAGGTGAGTTTGGAGAAGGTTCTTCAACAACAGTAGATATTGCTTGCGACAGGTTTCATATTATTTCTATTGACAACTCATTCTTATACGTGGAACAAGACATTGAAATAAAACCTTCTGCCAAGTTGTCTGACAAGAAAAGTTGCAATGGAATTTCTATGTCGGATACCAATATGCTCCAGAAGTTTTCATGGATATAAGATATATTCTAACTCTGACTTAGTTCAAACAGTAACATGGGCAAACTATGAATGGTTCGCTTTGAGAAACTCAGTACAACCACAAGCTAGAAACAAACAGACCAGTATGCAACTATTGAGAAAATAAGAAGACTTGACCCTAACGTTCCAGGAGTTTATTTGACCTTTCTGGACAAACTGCAGCAGCAGTAACCAAAGTAAAACTGAAACTTAGAGTTCCTTTGTCATCTTTCCTCATCTTCAGGTTTTTAAGATACTTGCCAAACTGGGCAGGAAAAATTTCTATTGAACTTACTCCAAGCAAAAATAACTTAGTCATTGCACCAACACAAGACCCATTCACTCTTACAGACGTAAAGGGAACAAATAAAACGTCATTCGCCGAATTTTGCAAAGACAAAGTTGACTTAGACTTTGGTTTCTCAAACCTCAACACTGAAGTAAATTATTATTTCAATGCTGCTGGAGATGCTTGGGACCCAGTTAAGTTCACATGCGAACAGTTTGAATGCAAGAGAATAGAAAGCAGACTTGCCGTTTATATGTTGGACCCAGATATTTCAAATGCTTTAGCTGCCAAATATATTGCAGTTCCACTTATGTTCCCTATACACCAAATATCTGTCAAAGACTTTGCAGGTGAAGTTGGAAACCAAAATCCAGGAGCCGCAGGTGCAAGAACAGATATTGCTTTAACAACTGCAATGAAACATGCAGATACTATGTTTGTACTGTTCAGACGAACTATAAATGACTATTCTTGTTTTCTACAACCCTGGTATTAAATATCATATAAACATAGATGGCAAATATTATCCAAGAGAAGAATATTCTACAGTTGAGGATATGAGGTCATACAACTTGACATTAGATGCTATGAACTTTAACAACAACTTCACAACAACTATTAACCCTGAAATGCAAAGTTTTATTATGCCATATGTAAAAATATGGACTCATACAGGAGGTCAAAAAACTCAATATACAAATGGAGACCGTTCAAACTTTTGGCTTGGCATTCCATTTGCTGACTCAGAAGACTTTATGGGTGGTATTTCAACTGTTGGTACAGTTCAAATACAATATACTGGTGACAGAGACGGTCCAGATGAATTGAGAGCAAATAAGTTTACAAAACCAATAGCACTTTTCACGGAAGATGCTCTTTTGAAGATTCGTTCGATGAAACCTGCTGGGGCTCCTCAGATTGGCATAACGACAGCTTCCATCGAGCAGATTTTGGCAGCAGGTCAGTAAGTTGTTCTTGAACTGACTTCTCTCCGTCAAATATTGACAGTACGCCAGTTTTGACATAATATTGTATTATAAACTTTCCTTTAGTAATATCTGTAAGTTTTGAAGTTATATTTTTGTCTGCTTCAAGAACTTTCACCATTTCAGTTATACAACTTTCTTTGCTTTATGAAAATAATTTAGGTTCAGCAAAGACTGCTATTCTATAACATTTTCCATTGTTTGTGTAAAGAACTATTCTGTCAATGTATTTGTATTGTTTGTGAGTATAAACTTTGTTCTGCTTCAATTCAATAAGATATCCGAATACGTCCATCTTTTTATTCTAAGTAAAATGTCATTTCCGAAAAATAGAAGCGTAAGTGTTTCAAAAGGTTTAATGGCGGTGGCAGATGTGAAGTTAAATTCACCAACTCAAACAAACAGTCAAAGTGTTGTTGTCAATGTCAAAGACAGAGATGTTGAAGTGGGGAAACCATACGAAGACGAAGATGGTATAACAATTGTTCCTGTAAAAGAACCAACATATCCTGAAGTTAACAGAGACTTAAGTTCTGTTGCAGATATTCGAAACGACTACCAACAACTGAAAGACAAACTTCAAACTCAGGAGAAGATTTGTCAAG